ATTTATATAGTGCTCTGTAAACACAAATTAGTTAGCATAAATCAGTTAAATGACGAAAAATTTACTTGTGACCACTCAGTGTATACAAAATATAATGTCGAAATTTCCATGTTTTGTTTTTTCATTCCTCATAACCCTCTGGCTCTTACGTAGTTATTACAGTTGATGTATGAACTACAAAACGTCCTACGTCATCAACTGTTCATGTATTTTGAAATGAAGCCACTGGCTGTAGCTGCCATACAGCTTCCATTCATCGAAGATCGAAAGAGGTTTAAAATTACCTTGATTCGAGCATTTTGCAAAATGTGTTGAGCTAAGTATAATTATAGGTTACTCTTTTTTTCCTTCTTCCTAATGTTAGCGTAAAATTTGGCCTTCCGTTCTTCAAGTGTATTTCATATCAAGAGAGTGTACCTCAGCTTAACAAATTATTGTTAAATTATTGGTTTGCAAAGATAATACCGCCGTAAAAAAAAAAAGTCATACGACATCCATAGCATTACATCATTTAAACATCACTGGATAAGTCACGCTCTTACCTAGTTCACCTTGAACGACATCAAACCTAGTGGCGCCCTCATGGAAGAGTTTCGGCTTCTTAGTTAGTTCCTGAAAGATAGAAAAGCATGAACATACTAATCGTTTTTCACTTGTGGTCTTAAATTCTCACATTATTATACGAACTATCTATATCTATGTGCACGTGGTCTCCGTGTGTTTCATTTTTTACACATCAAAAACACTTTCTATATCCAGGAAACGTTTTTCTGCAATAATGCACATTGTTTAGTTTTGAGGGAAAATTTTGGAATTCAAAAAACGTAGAAATAGTATGATTTTGTTTATATTTTGTCAGAAAATATAAATGAAATTTATTTTTGTGTAGTATAATAAAACTTTTTCTATCCTTCAGAAACGCGTTATATTAACTTGTTCATATTTATTTTAAATATTGTAATGTGTTTTTATGTTATAATTACATGGTTATAGTGTTTCATATCGTAAAATGGAACAAAGCCTTCTGTTTTTCAAGATTATTTCGTGTTGGATAGGGAAAGACAGTTTACCTAAGCTTAACAACTTATTGTTAAATTATCGGTCTGCAAGAATAACGCACCGTTTTCATGGAGAAAAAATTCTAGCCAGAGATTTTGAATTCTCTAATCTGTCCAAAAAGTTCAGCCCGTACAATTTTGTTCTACATTGGTTTATTTTGAATTTCGCGCAAAGCTACACGAGGGCTATCTGCGCTAGCCGTCTGTAATTTAGCAATGTAAGACTAGAGGAAAAGCAGCTAGTCATCACTACCCCTCACCAACTCTTGGGCTACTCTTTTACCAACAAATAGTGGGATTGACCGTCACATTATAACGCTCCCACGGCTGAAAGGGCGAACATATTTTGTGGAACGAGGATTCTAGTCAGCTGATATAAACTTTCAAGGGGTTAAACGTCGATTTCAGGTTTTGTTTTGGGATGCTTTTATGGTCACAAATCACAAGTACTCTATAT